GCCGAGAGAAGCGCAGGTTCACGTTCATGTGGGGCTTCTTCTTGTCACGATAAGAACTTTAACCTGCATTTTAGAGGGGCATGGTGAATTGTGCTCACAGACATGCCTGTTTTAATGCAGTGAGACCTGAGGCTCTGAAGATCATCTAATGCACACACAGATTTCTCCAGGATCTCTTAATCTTTTGAGTATTATGATTATGTACTGTAGATGATGAAATATATGGTGAAAAGTTTTTTTCTGAAGTTGTTCTGCAGAAACCTCTTTAAGATGCATTTTTTATACCCAGTCACATTGCTCACTAGGCAACTTCTTAATTGCAAAATGTTCCTCCAGCGGTTTCTTTATTGTACCTCTTACTTACTCAGTGCTTTTCCAGCCTTTTGTTGCCCCATGCCAACTTCTCTGAGACATGTCGCTGCCGTAAAAATTCAAAATGAGGTGTTATCCTTCACGAAATAATAAAATCTCTTAGTTTAAACATTTGATATGTTTTCTGTGATCTATTGTGAATAAAATGTGGTTTTATGAGATTTGTAAAATCACTGCATTTCCCCCCCAGTTTATTTCAAACCCAACTTCTTTGGAATTAGGTTTGTAAACCCCAAAAGGTTGATTCTGTTCACCTGGACGTGGCGTTTTTTTAGTGCGAGAAACGTTTCGTCACTCATCCAAGTGACTTCTTCAGTCTCAGCTGACTGGAGGTTTCCCCAACCTTATAAACAGTACATTTGCACAATAGCTGAAACCAGCCCCCAACAATGGGCTGCGAGGTCAGCTCCTTGATCATTAATATGCTAATTGTCATGACCGTTGATCAAAAAACACTGATCAAAGCCCATTTGTAAACATTACCATAAAACAATAATCCAAGTAAATGGTGCATGTGTAATTTGTGGTAACAAACAAACCAAATTGTGTGAAATAACAGTAAGTTCTGCATTTATATGGCCAGTCACAATTTCAGGACATCAGATGTTTGTCTGTGTGTTAGGATAAGGACTAAATGTCACAAATAGTCTTGCATATGAAGCTCAACACTGAACTGATCTTTACAAGTCAAAAGATTTTTTTTGGAAACAGGAGTTCGCCTGCATGTGTGAAATCCTGCAAGCTTCTATTATTATGATTCATGGTAAATCTAATCATTATTGTAATAGTAGCAGCTACTGCTGCCTCTCACCTGCATGCTTACAGAGCGTGACCTTCAACACTGACTGCAGTCCCTCTGTAGCTTACCTGACATATTACAGAGGCATGCATATATAATACTGGTGTATAATGGTGGGTGTATGTACCTGGGGTAATTTGTATGGGCTGGGTAGCTGGTGAGATTCCATGATACCAAAGAAGGGATCCTGAGCTCCTTCTGCCTCCTCCATCATGTACAGGATGTCAGGTATATCCAAAGCATTCCTACAGTGTGATACGCCAATGTTATTACTCAACATATTCAAACACTGCACACATTTTAGAATTTGCAGTTTCTAATAATATAAAATATCTCTGGAATAAGACTAGAGCTCCTTCATATCGCACAAAATGGATTAATAAATAGCAAAGTGCATAACATTACTGCTGTTCCATAATGTGGCTTATGAAACATTGATGAAGCTATTTAAAGGGAAGGAGAGCCATTTGTCCACTAATTTAAACACCATATTCTCCATTTTACTGTTTATTACTCCAAACAATCTGTTTGTCATCTCATAAATATTCAACAACAAGCCTGTGAGCTCACACTTCCCCAAACAGCTAAAACTTCCTGACAGTTCTGCTAATTTTTTTTCAGATGTCGCAAGAGACAAAACTTTCTTCCCCTGTGGATTAGCACACTGTGCGTGCATACACAGACCTGCCAGATTCAGCCATGTCTATAGGTACACATCTTTTACAGCGCAGCAGGCGGTCTATGGTTTGTTGAACCTCCTCTGGAAAACAGAAAAATTATGCACACGACTCGTACAAAACAAAACAGAGATGCAAGAAGAGGCATCACATTTAAGTTAACAGTGACAAATGTGCTAAAGGTCACTTCAAGCTAACATGTGTATTCAACATCCTCATTGATAAAAGGTACTAAGAGTATTTAGGTTGCCTGTACCGGCAACCTGTCCAGGATGTACCCAACCTCTCCCCCAAAGCCAGGATTGCCTCCAGCCCCATAGGACCTTCAACTGAATAAGCGTATAAAAAAATGGATGTCTGGAAAAATAAAAATGAGCATGGAGGACGTTTGTGTCCCATTTTACAAAGACCATACCAAACTCCACTAAGCCCTGCTTAATAATGCCATATAAACATCATACCCACACACTTGGAGGTTTTATTGTACTGGTGGGTGAAATTAAATGCCACTGCAGACAATGGCTGCTTTCTTGGCATCTCCTCCTGCTGATCATCCTGCATTATGTTTCACCGTTTTCATCAACCATGACAGCAGCATGATTGCGAATCTGTCGGATGCAATATCATCGTCAGGCTGCAATTTGAGACCTGATGAATCGAGACTGTTGCGCTGTGTTTGATGATGTTGCTTTCATTAGTTCCATATTGGCTTCTAAATCACACTTATCAGGGGGAGCTGGGATGATAGCAATGTTTTGGTTTTTGCACCAAAACAGTTTTCATGACACAGAGAGAAGGTGACGAACACAATCTGTCTGATGTGTTTTGCATAAAGTAAACAAGCTGGGCTTTTTTCCCCAGTTAACATCAATCATGAAAAATAATGAAGCTGCTCTGTTTTTGCTTTTGGTTTATTTGAGTTAGTGTTTTTTGTTGGGGGTTTTTGGTTCAATTGAAAATCATTTTGCCAACCAACTCCCTTTTTTTTTTTGCTAATCCTATATAAGCAATCTACCATGAAATGATTCCCATTTATTTTTTAATCCATGTTAGTCATCTCCTCAGTGTTTTGTATACACTTTCAAATTTGACAACTACTGCAGTGACTCAACTTGCAGCATAGTGTGTAGGGAAAGCAGAGGAATGTCATGGCTGATCGCACGATTTCAGTTTCTCTTGTTTCTGTTGTCTTTCTGTTTGTTCCTCACCAAGCAAGAAGCCACACTGCCTGTGGTAGACTACAACCACTCCGTACTGCAGCTGAGAGGACAGGTACAGAGAGAACCGAGGCCTGGGCAGGCTGGGTTGTGGTGGAGGAACCTGTGCGGTCACATAGTCCAAAATCTCCCCGCTGTAAACATTCAAAATGAGGCAGATGAATCTTGACTAAATGTGCACAGTAAAACTTAGCTGCACAATTTACTGGCAAATGGAGATGTAGTGAAGTGCTAAGTTTGAACTAAGTAACCTAAACTAGTCTAAACCTTTGCTAATCTACTTTAGCAATTTTATCAGGCTTGCTATACAAAATCGTGCACATTCATACCAGGTCCGCTTGACATTGACTCTCAGAAGCTCTCTGCGGGTCACCCTGATGCCTTTAGTGGCTGCTAACCTGAGTAACAAAACACATTTACAAAATTTAGACATAACAGTTAGCTAGTCGGGAGGTAATGTCCATCGGGACTTCTTGCTAATGGCTTTGAAGCAACATGTAGACTCACCAAATTGTGGAAAAACATCCAGAATGTCGCTGGAGCACATTGGGGTAGTAAAACATTTCGTCTTATCTGTCAATAAAAATGCAAGAAGTTAAAGAAAAGAGGACCAAGTTTAGGAACTAGATTAAAACACCAATCTTTGCCGAAATTTAAGTCTCGGTTTCCCGCCTCAAAACATGCTCCACCAATCCGGTTTCAGATTCAGGACACGATAGTAAACACCCATGATGCGTTCAAGTACTAAAAATAAATCCATTGCTGCATAAATGAATGTAAGATGAGTAGTTATGTTAGACTTTACCCGTTTAAAGAAAAACTAACATAGAGCCTTACAATTAAAAAGGGCATCAAATTACTCTAAAACTGATGATTAAGACTGATAGCAGTACTCAAGTACTATATGGCTTTAGGTTTTACTTGTTCCCATTTAATGTAATATTACATAACTCTGCTCCCTTTGTGAACAAATGGAGTTTTTTTGTTTTTATTTTTGTTTTATTTATTTCACAGCCATACTAGTTACAAACACTAAAACTTTAAAATACAAATTATTTGAACTGACTATATTTGTGTTTTTTATAATCATAATATAATTGCCTGAAGCACACACATTCGTATGTTCCCTGTGTAGGGCACACTGAGTGCCAACAGGTATATGGGGTATACAAACATTTTATACAACAGTTCAACCAAGCACAGAATGAAGTGTCATAATGTATAATAGCACTGTAGCACATGCATGTATATTTGTATGTTCCCTATCTGTATACTTGCTAGTATTTAAAAAATATTAAAACATTTTATATAAAGTTTTCATAGTTACTAAACAATATATAAAATATAGCACCTAGACTGTGATGGCATAGCATAGGAAAGTATAGAAAGTTCAGTTTTGTTGAGTTATCATGCCATTATTTTGATAAAGATTAAAAATATAGCTTTAGAGCAAAATTATCCTCCTAACACAGAATGGTACTTTAATTATGCTTTTGCTGCTAACATTTCTATAATTTATTAAGTAATAAGTAATGCAATATATAATCATGTAATGTTGAAAAATTATTCCTATTCTTAGTCCTAATATGAAGACACATTAAAATCAATATAACTGAACTGTGAGTCAGTTTTCAAATGCTTTTGTTTGGCTTTTATTTCTCAGAGAATGTTGCTGATTTTCCAGGAACTTCTCTAGACTGGTCCCTATTTCATCCCATTTTAAAAAAAATCCTGGAAACGCCCGTGAATTTTACACTTAGTATTAAAATAATTTTAAAAAATTAATTTGATAAACTGTTGTTAGACGTGACTTTACCAACACTTACAATTACTTAAAAATTTTAGGTTTCTATTTTCACTTTAGCTGAAAATAAGAGGAAATTGTGACGTCACCCCCTTCATGGGTAGTGTTGAATGATTGGCCACGCCTCTGTGCGCGAGGGAGGCAGGCTGTAATGTGAACGTCAGGGTGGTGGAGTCTGATTGAAGCTACTGAGAGCAGAAACTACAGCAGGAGGAGGAAACACAAGCTATACTTGTGCAAACCTGACAGAGAGCTCCGTGTAAAAATGGCGTACCACAGTCCATACAGAGCCCCCCCACACATCAACGCTCCTCCGGACCAGGGTTTCCTGTGGAATATCTTCCAGAGGTAAGTGCAGGAAAGCCGGGTTGTTTCGCTGCTGTGTGCCTGTCTCTCACTTTGCTTCGAGGTGAAAACTGCTGTCGTGTAATAGCGCGGGAGGAAGAGGGTGAGACTGGGTGGGGGTGACACTAAATATTTCATTGAGAGCTCGCTGTTTTTGTTTGTCGTTGCTCTCATCTATGCATAACTCTTTTTCGGGACAGTTTTCCCGGAGTGAAATGACTGATTTTCAGTGTTACAGTTGAGCCTCAGTTGTGGAAGTAGTACTACACGGTGCGCAGTACACAGCCTGTAGCTGCTTTATGTCACATCTGGTACTACCTTACATTACTACGCGTCTGCAGTGCCGCATAGTTGTATTGATGATGTTACATTGTGCCGAAATGAAGTCAAAGTCAGTCAGCTTGCTCAGTGAGAGTTTTCAAACCTGGGTTCAAGGACCTCCGGGAGTCCTTGAAGGGTTCCCCTCCCCGGTTTATCCTAGCAACGGAATCACAGCTCCATTCAAAATGTTTTATTTATGTCTCCAGTGAAAACCATCTTCCACCAACACTTGAGTCTGAAGAAGTCAGAAAGAAATGATATAATATTCTAAAAAAGCTGGATATGACTAACTGGATCTATTTAAAACACATTGGAGAGCTTATTTCCCAAAAAAACATTGTTTTATGTTGGATTTTTGGATGTTTCCCCCCCCTCCCATATTTGGATGTTAAAGTGTCAGCCACTGATAGTCATCAGTTTCAGCACAGCCTGAGTCAAAAGTGTGTCAGCAGCCAAGAAGGTCATAGAGTAGTAGGCAGAGAGGGAAATGTTCATATGCCTTGGCCCCTGGCAATAGTAAGCTATAGAGTTATGTAATACTGCAGAAGATTTTTTTTCTCACATTAGGATGCTGCTGGCATTGCAAGGCTCGAAACACCCTTTAACTAATTATTTATGTATGGTGGACAAGCTTTAAGGTATCACATGTGCACATTTTGCCTCTTTGAGGAGCAGCACCTTCTCGTGGCTGCATGCATCATTGTCATGTCAGGCGTTATTGTGACTATCATAAAAATATACAGTCATCTGTCACATGAGCCATTGCGCTGCCTCATCTGCTGCCCCTCGGTGAATATCTGGCAGAGCTTTGCTGGAATTCCCTCGGTCATGTGGTCAGAGTCAACGGAGCATGTTGACGCAGAAGGCTTTGCAATCCCTTTTACACACACGCACCTACTAACCCATGACTCACCATCCCATTGTTGGACTGCTTTTATATACATGTTTGCTATGATATGACTACATCTGAGTGGATGCGCCACGACAAGATAAGAAAAGTAGGCTATTTGACGTCTGCCTGGCTAGATGCTGAATGAGTCACTCTCTTCCTTTTGTGTGGATGCTCATGGATGGCTATGGTATGACAAAAATGTTTGAATCCTGCATTTCAAGACTCAGACTTGACTGAGTAGCTCCTACTCACCAATTCTCAGCTTTTAATCAAATTACACATTGATTTAATCAAATAACTACTTGGCAGAAACAAATGTACCTGACAAAAGTTGTTACACATGCAGAGCTAACCGTAATTCTTTCTGCGACTTGCTTTATCCTTAGATTAAAAAGGTTTAAAGTAGGAAGAGTAGCAGTGGAATTTTCAAGCTTGGGAGCTACAGCACCAGTGCCTTACTTTTGGACCAGTTATGTGGAAAGTAGGACGGACTTTTGTTCCGCAAGCTATATTTCAGCCTGATTGCCTAATAGGAAACAGTGAAACATGGGAAAATCTGAGCAGAATAACTGACTCAGTCATGGTGTTTTGTCCTTTTTCCCCCCCTTCTTTTAATATTGTCCCGCTGCAGCTTTTACATAGAAGTTCTGTATTTGACAGTGTGAATATGGAAACACCAGATGGTTAACTGCCTGCCTCTGCAGGCAAGAAGCAGTTTTAATGATGCTTTCAATTTTTTTTCTTTTTTACTGTTGAGGTAACTTCGCCCAAGGCTGGGCGTGTGAGCTTGTAGGAAGAAGACAGGCGGAGCGGGGAAAAAAGAGAGCTTATACTGTACACACACATACTTCTTTGAGATAATATCTCAGTGTTTGGTAAAGGCTGGGTACCCCCTCTGCCTCCACTAACCCAACCCATCACCACCTTCACAGTGACAAGGCTCTCATTTATGGCAGCATGCTGAGAGCGGTTCCTTCCCCAGCAGGAAGACCAGGCGAGACCGCGTGTTTGTTTTTCTTCATTTAACAGGGGAAATGCACACCGACATATAGCTGATCACCGTGCCTCGATGGCTGCAGTCATAGAGTTGCGGCCGCACAAAAACGAGTCACAGCCGGGAGCAGAAAACCAACACACTTTTTGTTTTTGTTGTTTTGTTTTGTTTGTTTGGGGGGGTCCTCCCCTCTTCTTCTCTGGTATTCAAACTGTGTTTGTTGAGTGAGCTCTGCGTCAACAGGTTGGGCCTGGCAGGTTGCTAAGGAACAACTGAGTCACTGGATTTTTGACTAAGCTAGATTTCAAAAGTGTAAGGCCTCATATTTGTGCCAGAGTCCAACCTTATAATGTCTCTGCATCTCAAAGAGAGACTTGTGGCAACATTCAAGCAGTCTATGATGTGTTTTTGTCCTTTATAGTTATCTATACTATCTAAATGTTCAGCTAAAGATTTGCTCTCAGCTCTGTGTGATGTCACTAAGAGCCGAGTTCCTAATTGATCCTAACATGGTGAGACTTATGATTTGATGCCTGTTTGTTTGGGTCTCTAGCTTTGTAGAGTGAAGAACTATGGTTATCGCATACATTGAATGGTGATTGGCTGAGAGCATCAGCAGAAGCTGAGATCAAAAAAGCTTCAGCGGTCTATCACCAGCTGTTTAACATGTAGACTGCAGGAGTTGTTATAGCAACAAGAACTAATCATTCAAATGGTAATGGATCCCTGCATTGATCAACTTCTCCATTTTGATCCCAAAGTCTACTTATTATCTCACTCTCTTGGGATATTTTCAAGATGTGATGTGATTGGCTAGAGGTAGCGCTGGTGAATTTGAAATCTGCTTTGATTGGCTGATGTTTGCAACTTCTGGGAATTGAAAAGCTGAACTTTTATCAATGTTTCAGCTCCAAAGTAGTGGGAGGAAAGTGAAGCTGCATCACCTAATTCCCAAGGAGTGGAAGGGCAATTGAAGGCTGAAGTGTGCACATGTGAGGGCTTCTTGAGCACAGAAGCCCCACCCACCTGGTGTTTAAACCTTCTGTTTATGAGGGGCAGCCAATCAGAACAAAGTCTTCTAAAAGGGCCAGAGGAAGGGAGCATAATTATGAGATAAATTATGATCTGTGTATCAGGAAAGCTACTCTGGCATAAAGACATAGAAATGACAAAGATTGCTCTCCTTAAAGGTACTGTAAGTGTACATTAATAATTACATCGCATCCCATTCCCTTTCTTTGTTTAAAGTCTGCCAGTGAGTCACCTCATCAGTAGCACTTTCCTTCAGTTCTTTCTTTAAATACTTACACAGAGTAGAAATGTACTTAAAGAAGCAGCACTACCTTTGGATGCTTTACTAGCTTTGGTGGCTCCATTAGGGCTAAAACACCTGAATAGTTGGTGAACTGTGACAGTAAATTCAATGACCCTGGTCTATGAAGCTCTTAACCCATTTGCTAACGTTTTAAAGTAGAAATGATCCATAATAATTACATCAATCCTAAGTTTAAAGCCCTTTGATTTGTTGTCACTTCACCTGTAAAACATATTCAAGTAATGAAAACTTAAGTTCTCCAAGATCCAAAGTGACCTGAGAAAACTGGCTCAAACAAAGAGCAGTGCTTTTTGCTTGCTAGTTTCCAGTCAGTTGATTTACTGACTGTATGAGCTGTAACTTCAGGATCTGGGACAAAAAGAGACTAATTTAATTTTCTTGAGTAATTCTGCTTTGTTTTGTGAAGACTTTTCTCTCTCTCTGATATAATTTAATTAAACTGTCAGTGTTGTTGGCAGGAGGCAGCCTGATATATTCTTTTATGTATTGCCAGGTAGTCAAAATAGCATTGCTGTGCACATATTTCAAATATGAGAAATTTTTACTTTTGGTTTCACTATCACTTAAAAGAATCTTCCAAGCAGGCACTATGCTGTGGGCACTAAAGGTTACGAAGCAACAACCTGTTTTAGTTTGCATTCTCAGGACCAACACACACTAACACACACAAACCTTTAGACCTTGTCTGGCTGGTTTCTCTGATCTCTGAGTGTACAAACTGTCTTGTGCACCCTGATCACAGACTTCCATTCATTCTCTGTGCACTGTTGAAACACTAACACATGATCAGCAGGATGAGGTTTCAGTTGGCGAGCGCTGGTGCATGCTGCTTTTGTGTGTTGGGATTGTGTCCTGGTGTGAAGTGGTTAAAGCAGGCGGTATCTAATCTGTGTTTTCCTCCCCAGGGTCGACAAGGACCGGAGTGGAGTGATATCAGACACGGAGCTTCAGCAAGCCTTATCGAACGGTATGGATCAGTGTCTTGGAATTTCTGCCACTACTGTTATTGTCTTTCTTTCCCGTTCTATAAATATCTATATATATCTCACCTCCTTTTCTATGTCAATATATCATTTTTCCCTTTCTTCTTAATTCCCTCTGTTCTTCTTTGCTCCCCTGTGTGTCTCTCTCTTTGTCTCCCATCTCCTCGTTACACACCACTGGTCACTGGCTCACTCTTTGATTTAAGCAACGGCATGTTAAAGCAGAAAAATGGATGGGGATTTTATTTTTATCCCATCGATAGCAGGTGAACCGGATAAAAATGAATGGAGTTTTATTTTTGTCCCAGAACAGAGGAGTAGGTGAAGAGTTTAGCGGCGTAGCTCGAGAGAAAATACTTTGATATTCTTCTGTGTCCCAGCAATGACAGCCAGCGCCACACCGTACAGGATGCTAACTGAAACTGTGGGTGTGGATTTTGTCACACTCTTCAAAAGTTCAAACAAGATGAATGCTCTCACATCATCGTAATAGGAATAAGCACAGACTGCTTATAAAAGATGGAAACTGGCTTTTGTTTTGTTGACGCCAGTAATAATGACCATATTTATACAAAAGCGTGTGAAGTTAACAAATCCATAAACTATAGAAAGCAAAACTGGCACAGGAGGTCACATGATGGGTCAAATACTTCCAATAAAATACTCCAAAAGGCACCAAACCTCAAATAGTTTCTAAAGGTCTTTCTAAAGGCAATGAACACCTGCCATTTATACGAGCTAACACATGCTTTTATACATGGAGATGATCGCTGATGCTGTGCTAAAATGCTTGTGTGGACAGAGATTAAAACATGCTAATGCTGACATAGCGTAATAAAGCATTTCTATTTACCTAAGTCACTCTGAAAGCCATTTTATTGTGCTTTCTCTTCTCTCTTGCTCTTGTATAATTAAAAGTGAAGCACAGAGTTTTAAAAGGGGGGACAATAATGCATAAATCTGCCTCTGGTTAACTATTTAAGCATGTATGCAGTGCAATTAAACAGTAGTATGACAGAATTACATCATAGTTTCTATCCCCTGGTAAACTTGGAGGAATCCTGTGTGGTTCATCAGCAGCTGACGATGTTGACATTTACTCAGCACTTATAGTCTTTTAGCGCGATAATGTGAATTTGCAATGTATTGTAGGTGACTGTTAAGTGAAACCCTTTAGCAGAGTTTTAAAGGTGAGTCAGCTGGAAGCAATTAAATGTCAGCCATGGATAACAACCCCAATCATGCCTGTGCCACATAGGCTAATGGTGGCTTAATTAACTAGTTAGCTACAGCTCATAAACTGCTTAAACTTTTAAACTCTTGCTTTTGTCTTTCATAAAGTTGTTTGTGAGGCTGGGTGACTTTATATAAGGGGTGTGCTTTCTCTCCTGCAGAATGTATTAATCTGATTGAAAACCCAGGGATGTTTCATGAGGCTTACAGCTGCTAGTAATGGAGGCACAGTCCCTCTTAGTCTTGTAGCTCTGCAGGAGGAGCTGCATTCAGACAGGGACGAGGCTTCATTTCCTTAACAAATTAAAAGAAAAGAAACAGAGTGCTTGTTATTCCTCCCCAGCGGTTTCGGGAGAAGCACTGAATAAATGATACGGGTCATCTTCTCTGCTCACATCCTGGAAAATGAAGTCACTTATTATTTGTTTATGTATTTTTTTTTTTTATGCTCGTAATGATGAGGAGAGCTGCCACAACAGAGCAGGCATCTATTTTCCTGCCACACTCATCGCTGCGTCGCTTCTTGACCTTGTTTGAAGTGAGACGGCACAGTTAAAATGGGTTAACGATTAATGTGACACCGTTAGACCAGAAACTGTGGCACAGGGTTGATGTTTGTATATTCATTATAATATAATGTCTTCCCCCATCAAGCTTTTGTTTGATTTGCTCCAGCAGCTTTTCAAAGACTTTTCAGCAGATTACGCTGCCCAGAAACCCATTTTTCTGGGCACTTCAAAAGAGAGAAAGAGGCAAAAAAGAAGTGTGAGAGCCAGCAGCAGCACTGAAAGAAGCTGTTATCGGGCTGCGCAGTGACTCTGGCACAGCATACTGATTAGTGTGTAGTGTGTGTTTGTGCGAGGCAAGCGTGTGTGCGTTGCTCATTTCATCAGATTTTTGGGTTTTTTGCCAAGGGTCAGTGAGTCTCTTCTTGTTTTTTTGGACTCGCTGTTGTGTTTGTGTGCTCCTCGCTGCGTATGCGTGCGGCGAACGGCAGGTTTCCCGGTCCAGTCTCTCCTAGTTCATTAGATTCATTGGGAAATGAAACCGAGCCAGTCAAGCCGAACACGGCGCACTGCATCCTGTCCTGCAGCTTCCTAAAGACAACCCGCCGCTCGACTGTCTGTTGCAGCTCTACTGTCTCTGCATTCTGCTTTTTTGAATCAGTTTCCTGCCATCAACTATGCTTTGTCTACCTATTCTTCTTTACCCCTGTCTCTGAGGAGAGCAGAGAGCATCAAGGTTCAGGAGGGAGGCTGGGCCAGTTAAACTCTTTCATCCTCTGCTGTTGTTTCTGCATCACATACTCTGGTTTTCTTATCGTCCATCAGCGCTCTGCCTACCTGTCTTCTGCACATAGAAAATGATCCGGGCTTCACTTCATATGTTTCTTTTTTCCTTTTGCTTTGTGCAGAAATCTTTTAATCTCCTGTTTCTTTTTTTTTTTACATGCATTTTCTTTTTCCAGGTAGAAAAAAGAAATCAGTCGGCTAGAAAAAGGCATTTTAAACATTTTAAACATAGGATTATACAACATCTCCTCTCCTCTCCTCTTACATTTCTCTCGAGGATATGGTACTGGCTGTTTTCCTGCCATGCCCTCTGTCTCCTTGTCCTCTCTTACTCTGACTTTGTCTCTTTGTCTCTCACCCTTACTTAGACAGACACACAGAGAGGGAAAGTGAAACTATCTTCCCTCCTCTCTCTCTCAGTCCTGGGTGTTACCGTGATGAAACAGTGATGGCTCTGTGCTGTTGGAAGCGCACGTGCCTGTCTGTTTTGTCCGTATGCCTTTTAGCCGGGCCATTTGCTATAAATATGGATTTTTTTTCTGGCCTCGTCTCTTTGCTCAGCAGTAAGCAGATACCCTACCAACTTGCCTCCATGCTCCCCCACTCTCCTGCTTGAGTTATTTGTGTAAGAGCTCCACTGAAACTGCTGACATGCAGAGCGGGCTTGAGGAACTCAATCAGCAGCCCTTTCCGTTACACTTGTACATATGTACACTTTTGTAAAACCTGAGCTGAGTCAGATGGCATGGATATTACCCAGACAGTGTTAAGCTTTTCAGCATTTCCACCTTCTGGTGAAGGAGCTGCGTCATGCACTGAATATGTTAGATCCAGTCATTTTCTAATGCGTGAGGCACCGGTGCCATTTTGAATGGATTTCTTCTTATGCGTTTTCCTTATATGTGACCACAAAACACACAGAGCTGACTGTAGCAGTCGCTTTAATTATAATTCTCTTTACTCTGAGCAATGACTTGCTTGGATACTCCTGTTGATAAGCTCCCAGCATACTACATAACTGTACTCTTTGCATGATTTCAAATTGCAAGGTTTGAGCGACTCCCAGAAAAAGCTAAATTGCAATCACTTACATTTATATTAATTCAACGATAATCAAGCAGCTCTGTCCCTTTGCTGCTCTCAAGGTCAAACCTTTACCTGAGTAATACAGGATGTGTGTTTCGGGAGGTTTCAAGTCTGTGTCGCTACTTTGTGAGCTTAACATTTAAAGTGTGTTTGGAAAAGTTCAAATCCGTGTTTGCTTATGTCAGGCGTGTAGGGGACAATCGACTCACTGAACTCCATCACGACCGTTACATGTATGCGTATACACTGCGGTCAGCGCTCTCCGTTTTTCCACTCGCCCGCCTCCCTCCTCACCTCTTATATTCTCTCACTTCTGTCCACCTCGCCACTGGCAGTTCACCAGTGAGAGGGGTCCAGTGTGTGGACGGGACAGAGGGAGTATTGTCCCAGTCTGCCATCAGACGCTCACAAACATCTCAGCCATACTGGCCGCTTCACACTGGGCAGCCGCAGTGTGTCTAGCATACATTGGTGACCTCACAGCTAGCTACTGGTGTGAGGTGTGTGTGCGTGTGCATGCATGCGTGTAGAAGAGCCCGTGCGTCTGGAAAGGTCACAGCTTGTTCTCAGCTCTGCCTTTGGGCATTTTACTGCTGGCTCTAATGTTTGAGTAGCATTCACAGCGTTTTAGCTGAATCCATGTTTGAACATCCAATTTCTGCTCACACCAACAGCTACGTAACACTGTAGTATAGAAATATCAAAGATGCATTTAAAGGAAAATTAGAAACACTGTTTTTGGACTAGTGACGAACTCTTTTAATTATAGTTATAACTTATAATAACAGCCTATAAAAATATCTGAATTTTTTTGCTCCTGAAAATTCCAGTATCCCTCGGTATTTGTTACAGTCAACTTATTACATTTAATAAAATAATTGTTGACATTTTACTCTGGATTAACCGTCGAGCGGCATTTTTCATGATCCTATATCCATATTGGATTCTGACCGGTTTATCGGCAGACTGATATTATCTATACAGGTAACAGCCAGATGCTCTATAAAAGCAGAAGTTGTTGCTGTTTGCTAGTTTGGAGCATGTAAGTGTGTGTTAACACAATGCCACAGTCTTCCTGGGAGGCGTGATGATTTGGCCATGTTTTATAGCCACAGGACCTGGACACCTTACAGAGTTGAGCATGAACTCTTCTTTATACCAAAGTAATCTAGAGTCAAATGTGAGCTTTAGCTGTTGGACAGATGGCCAACAGCTAAAGCTCACAGTGGATCTAAAACAGAATGACTGAAAAACAAAATCAGCAAGCAGTGACCCGCTCAAAGTCCAGACCTCAACCTGATTGAAATGCTGTTGCCTTAAGAGAGTTGTGCATAAATGAAGTGAATGATTCGAGTGTTTCTACCGATTTTTTTTTTTAAATTACCTATTAAAAATAGTTTTAGTACTAGTAATACAAACATAAAAACATGAATTATGTTTTTGACTATGATTTGTTGGTGATCAAAGCATTAGGGAGTTTCCAGTTTATCTAAATTGTTGTGTTTAAATGTGCTGTAGCACATAATTCACTACTATTATTGAAACGAAGAAGTAACAGGCAATCATTTTGTAATGAAGTGTGTGTGTGTGTGTGTGTGTGTGTGTGTGTGTGTGTGTGTGTTTTTAAGCATCTGTTCCACATTAAGGAAGTATATATAGAGATGACAAACAGAAATGTCGCCCGATTAAAGAAGTATTCCTTTAACATGGTCATAAATGACACCACGCCATTCATTTTAGTCGATGAGAGATGTAGTTTGATGAAAAAAGTACTTGTGAGAAATGGCAGCAAAGAGACATGCTGTAACGCTGACCCGCTTCTACAAATTGCCCTCACATCTATATGCTAATAATACTTTATGATTGTTGCTTCAGTTCATCATTTAGTTCGTTTTGGATGAAAGTGGAATATAGATTCTGGCCCAAATCCCAGCGTCAGTAAGAGCCTCAGGCCTGTCCCAAAACAGCTCTATCCACAGTCCTAGACGGCCTCAGCCATCAATAAAACAAACTGAGCAAGAGGGAGGAAATGACTAGTGTCCTCTGAAGCACACACAGTACTTAGTGTACCAAAAATCTTAAAGTTTTGAGGTCCTGAAATTGTTTCAGCTTCATATTATTTATTTAGACGCTTTAATGGGCTTTCCCAAGTAAAATCGAGGTGTGAATAAATCAACAATAAAGCAATTTCTGTGTTATGTTTGATTTGAAACCTTTTTATTTAAATGAGATCCTCTTATCTAAGCTCTTGAGGCTCGCGCTGCAAACCTGCTTACTGCTGTGCTGGCATAGCTGTGGAGGAAAATCAAAAACAAGCAGCACGGTGTGAAAAACGCTCCAGAGTTTTGGCAAGCTGTTGAAATTCTGCAGAGGCTGTTTTAGGATCTGCAAAAAGAGTTTCAGGAAACAACCTTAGGTCAGCAAATGTAGGCAAGAGAGCTCAAGGTACTGCAATGAGAACCAAACTGCAAATGTTTTGTTCACCTCATCTCCTCGGGTCGCTTCTCTTTTGTTATCTCTGCTCCTTTTGTGCGTTTCCTTGCCTCCCCTCGCTTCTCTACATCTTCTCAGACACGCTTCTCTTTATTCCTGGTCCTGAACTGCCAGCCTGCCTGTAATAAAGTGAGGTGGTGAGTCAGCAGCTATTTAGATGGCCTGATAAATCTCACTGTCTTGAGAGTGTGAAGCAGGCTATAAAAGTATAAACACTCACCTGAAGTAAAGACCTATTGCTCTTTTTCGCGCCCACCTATATGACAGGTAGATTCACTTGTAATTGAAGTTTGTCCTCTAGATGAAAAATAATGATGCGTAGCTGGAAAAAAAAGACATAAATTGTCATAAAACTCACCCCCGCTTTTTAAAAAAACTGCAAAAGTCTTGAGCCACCCCTCATTTCTTTGTATTTTGCTGGGAAAATGCGCCAATGGGTGCAATAACAGATATGTAGAGAGAGAGTATTGTAACAAAATCTTAAGGTCAATATTTGATATGACCACCTTTAATCTTCTGCACAGATTGAACTGTCTTAGTCAAGCTTTCCTGTCACTTCTTCAGGAACAGTTCTCCAGGCTTCTAAGAGCTCGTCTGCATCAATGCATCAAAGCTCACGGCAAATTTCAGAATGCTGATGTGCTCGTTCTTCTTCATTGCAGCCACCACATTCTCCTTTAACCTCCTAAGACCCAAACTTTTCCACGGCATGCATTTTTAATTTCTCTTTGATATTTGGGCATATTGGGGCCCGATGAATGTAAAAACAAAGAATTACCAGATTTTTTTTTTTTACCTTATTTTTGTTTTTATGAAAAATCAGAGCCACATATGAGGATATTCGTTTAAAATTTTGATAGAACAGTAGCAGCATAATGTCCTCGTAAGTGGATATCAGGCCCTTGAAGAGCAAAATTGAGTATTTTGGTCTAAATACCCCAAAATGTTATTTAAACATATGTGGACGCCAGGTCCTAGGAGGTTAAAGCATTACAGACATAATTCACTGTTTGCTTGACTTCTTCATACTTAAACACGCAGACACGCACACATGCACAAAAACTCATAAACATGAAGACACAACATATCTACCTCATCCAGGAGATAAAACTCTGCCCAAGAGTACTTGAGAGTATTTATATATTTTTGCATTTAGTAAAATGTTTACTTAATTTTTTTTTTTTTTATTATGGCACGTAAATACAACGAAAGATTTATACAGTTACTCGATTACCAAAATAATTGGCAGTATGTTTGGGATCACTGTTATGCTTTCTAGATGGTGTTGCGTGATAGGGTAGCTGTGGCTTAGGAGGTAGCGCAGGTCACCTACTGATCGGAAGGTTGGTGGTTCGATCCCTGGCTCCTCCAGTCTGCATGTCAGTAACCCCAAGTTGCTCTCAGTTTAGAGACAGTGCTTGTGAGAATGGGTGTGATTGGGTGAACGTGGCACATTGTACTCCGGGAGAGTAGAAAAGCGCCGTATAAGAATCAGTCCATTTACCATAGATCAAAATGTAATGGTTTTTTCTGCATTAATAATTCCAACAATTCCAACTTTATTAAAACAACCCTGCTGACTTAAATAAAGCCCCAAATCATGACAAAGTCTCCACCATGTTTTCCAGATGGCTGTAGACACTCACTGCTGTACCTCTGTCCTGCATTCCTCCAGATAATCATTGTAATTTAAACCAAAATTTCACATTCGTCAGTCAGAGTTGTTTGTTCTGTGTAGACACAACACTGGTTCATCCCTTGATTTAGATCCAATTTTTTTAATGATTTACATGTCAGTGTTAAATAAAACAAACATTCAAAAGCCTGGAGAACTGTTACTGGAGACCACTTAAAAAAAAAAAAATCCAAGCAAGCATGACTCCTTGGGCGCAAAACATAAAGAAATCGGGGGTGGCCTCATAGACATAGGCTGTCTTCACAGCAAACTTTTGATTTGTCATTGCTGGAGTGGAATTAATCACAGTATTAATGGCTCTGTTTTAATCAAGTGTCCTTTGAGGATGACGGTGTGATAGTGAGTCAGCAGGCACAATAAGTCATGTTAATGGCAGACGGTTTGACGTGCCATTAAAGGACAATCACAGTAGATTAGTAACATTTGTGATAGGTGATATCAGGGATTGCTGCTTTCTGCAGGTTTCAGGTCCCTGCCACGGCAACTCAACAGCTGCTGTGAAAAAAAGTGTGTCTGCAAAATCATTCCCTCTTCACTCATTCACATCTCTCATAATAACGCACATGAGACTACACTAATGATCATCATTTTTCATTATCATCTGCTTGATGGGTTACTATGGTAATTTTCTGATTTATGAAACGTAAAGCGCCGCAGTGTGGGCTTGTTCGCATTGAAAGTCATCTGCCTTACATGGACACTACCAATGTATTTCATGCACAGTGCACATATAATCATAATAACAGTGGCAGGAAGTACATTTTATAGATAGTACAGTCAAGTATGTCTACAGTACTGTTATGTTTGGTCAAATGAAGCCGGGCGTTGCATTTCAGTTATCGTCTCGAGATAATGAACTCATTAAAAAGCAGTAAAATCAGATTCTTTCTTGGGTATGTCGTGATCTTAGGAAATAAATACAGGCCCCGCTAAAATGCTAATCTTGTGAAAATGTTTAATTAAGCTCCAATAGCAAGAAGAGTGTTTATTTTCTGTTTATTGTGATGATGCCAATTTTAACTGCAGTTCCACACAGTTGGTGTTAAAAAACAAAAAATCCCACGGCTGCTGTGGCTCTTACAAAACTCTACTGCACTCCCTAAAGATTTATTATATCATTACTGCTACCTCAGCTCTGTTATCATTATATCAGTTTCTTTGGGGCATTTAGCAGCTGGATGTTGCTGCAGGTCTTGGTGTATTTTTAACCAGCGCTCCTCTGTTTCACAGGCACGTGGACTCCTTTCAACCCAGTGACCGTCCGCTCCATTATATGTAAGTGACCAGTGACGGTGAGACAACCAACTTCCACACACTGCCTCTTGTTCTGGAAATATTCAGGTTGTTTATCTGCCTCCATGCCATGACAACCAGATTAGTTCATTAAACAGCGAGCAATCTGAAGACACAAACAAGCCTCTGCTGTTCTCCTGCTTTAGTGGAAACCTGCAGCCATCAATAAAACCAGGAAGAGGGGAATATCTGCAAGGAAATTGAAAAGCTGGTCCTAAAGGGCAGCTGAGAGTTTCCTCAGACTTCAAATATTGATCTGTTGACTCTTTTATAATATACAGCTGAGGTTAAAAACTGGAAACTTTGCAGTGTAGTTGATCTTTTAAACACACTGACTCTGAATCACACTGTACTAAACGATTCTTTTGTACTCTCTGTACACGAATAGCTGCGGCTTATTTATTTTTAAACTCCAAGACCAGAAGTATGTTAAAAAATGTCTGTCCCTGGGTCTCGCATGTACTTTGCACTCTCCGTTTGTTGTGCGACTTCCAAAGTAAATCCGTATAATTCCATCGCCTCTCCTTTCCACTGCACCATGCGCAGTAAATCCATTGTTTAGTACTCCCACAGCAAGAAGCATATCCTGTGATAACACTCCCTTTGTTGGGAGGTAATTGGATTGAAGCGCATGGGGGTGAGGAGTGGAGTACTGGTGGGGGGATCAAGCTGTTTTCTTTCGCTGTCTTATGAGGCAGGAGTTAGTCAAGTGTGAGTCTTGCTGTCCCACACTGTTAATTCTGCTGTTCCCTGATAGCCCTGCAAAGATGTATGCGGTGCCGTACTCACTCTCGTGTCCTTAAAACTGTCCCAACCACATTTAATGTCCAGAATGTCTACCAGTGTGCGTGCATATGCATATATGTTGTCAGTACCGGTGCATTTAATATGCGTTATATTCTACTTCAGCCATGTTCGACAGAGAAAATAAAGGCGGGGTGAACTTCAACGAGTTTGCCGGTGTGTGGAAGTACATCACGGACTGGCAGAACATCTTCAGGAACTACGACAGGGACAACTCCGGCTTCATCGATAAACAAGAGCTTAAGCAGGCACTGACTGGATTCGGTGAGCAACAAAGTATGCTTGTGTACTAAAATTTAGGGTGCTGGTGGAGGGCTGTTTCTACACGGTCAGTGTTTTTGTCTTTTCAGTTTTCTGTGTGTTTTAGATACAGCAGCTAGACACCAAATGAGTATATTTTAATCCTACTTTTTTTTTAACTAACCACCACATATACAAATGCTTTCAATTCATATATTTTGACAAATGTTAATTTGCGACTTTAAATTGGCCTGTAAAAAGCCAGAAAAAGTTGGGGTGCTTTGCAAACTAAATTCAACAGGAAGTGCTACAGACAACTAATAAAGTGTTGAACATTTGAGATTTGGCTGTTTGTTAGCAGGCAGGTCAGTTTATCACCTTGACATAGTGTTGGAGTAAGTACAAAATGTTGTTTGGCCTTTCTTGATAAGACGTCATCTGGGCGACGGCATCTGACTCCAAAGCCAGCATTAATGGTGTTTCCACTGCCTCCAACTGTGCAGAAAACATGCCGAATAGTTCCAGTTCTCCGTGATCTGACGAAGGGAGAACACAAAACATAATCGTTACTCAAACTACAGCAAGACAGTTTTATCTTCTGAGTCCATTTTAAATGAGTTTAGAGCCACAGAAGGGAGCAGCAGCATCTTGTGGACTTTCTCTGCATTCAGTGGTGGAGTTTAAGTTGCATTGTTTTGAATGCATTGCTGCCCGAAGGCCTGAAGATCATTGCCATTCACTGTTGGTTTTCAGCCTTGTCTGCTGTGTGCATATATTAAAGGATTTTTTGAACAGCAGATAGTATTACCTGCTTTGTACTTATACAATAAGAAATACGGCTATTAGACTGTGTGTCTATGCTGTCTTTACACTGTTAAGACTGTCGTGTTGCTCATTAACCTGATGAGTTGCTCATTGGTGCTGTTTAAGCATTATGCAGCTTTTTCCAGTCTCATTTTTCTCCAACTTTTATGAAACAATTTTCTTTCACCAAATTGAGCAGATGTGTTTTGTCAGTATTAAAATCAATTTAAATAATTTACTAATCAGCAGTAAAGTGACCAAATTAATAAATAAAAAAAGAACCTGTGAATGAAATGAGAGTGAAATCTGCCTGTGGGCTACGTTTGTGGTCAATGAAAAAGAAAGATTTCTTCTAAATAGCTGTTTTACTTTGCATGTTTTTGGTGTTTCTTTGTGTTTCCGTATTTTCTAAATCTGCTTCACGAGACTCCTGAAGCTCAGAAGACACAGAGGCTCATATTCACTGTATTGTTTTCACTGGCAGTGGCAGGAGCGTCTCAGTAAAGCAGATGTACAGTATCACACTGATGGCGGCTGTCCCGTGAATGCCTTAATCTGACCGTATCATAACATGTCTCGAGTACAGCCACAACTTGTTCTTCTGCCCAAGCCAGTCTGCGTTCATTCCACCCAGCCTGGAGCTCTGCCACAGTCAATTTGCATATGTCATGGTTCACTTAAAAGTCATTACCTGGCCAGGAGCCTCGTGTATGTAGAGGATGTCATGCCCTCAGTGGCTCCAGGAGCTTCTCACAGTCTCAAGGTCCAGGATACAAATTAAGGGGTGGGGAAAGAAATCGACACAGCATAGCATCCTGATAGTTTGTGTGGCAATATCGTATCGATATAGGGACATCAAATATCAATACTTTATTATTCAGTGACAGTGTTGCTGTGCTAAACTGTCTCATTTTGTAGCACAGAAATAAGTGAAATGAGATAGCTGTATCTTATTGGATAAAACAGATACTGAGAAAGCTGTACTTTGAGGACATAGCTTGCAATTAAAAAAGGTAATAAATCGCAGTAAATGTTTTTGTGATAGCATTTTGCAAAAGTAAAGAAAACAAATCCCAATCGTATGATGTTGCAGGGTGCGTGGTGATTCCCACCTCAACAAAGACCCAGAGGTGAACGTCCAGCATCTGCCATAGCAGAGTTTAGACCAGAAATCAAATGCATTATAAATCATCCTTTATCAGAAAACAAACTTGAGTGGGTGAATGTGTAGGACAGCTTTGAAATGACGGCTGTGTTACTGTTGTGTGCAGGCTATCGTCTATCGGACCAGTTCTACGGCACACTGATAGAGAAGTTCGACCGCCAGAGGAAGGGACAGGTGGCCTTCGATGACTTCATCCAGTGCTGTATTGTACTGCAGGTAACAGAGTCGCACTGACTGTAGTGTGCATGTAAAAGACTTGAAGTGGACTTTCAATCATGTATTTTTATGAGCCAGTTTCTTCCTTCTCAGTAATTTCATGCAGCTATAGAAGAGGCTGCTAAGTGTGACAAAAAGCCTAAAGAAGTAAATGGTATTAATAATAATGAGATAATGCTTCTGGCTAATCTGCAGTAAATCCTTTTTCTGTGCTTTTGCAGAGGTTGACTGATGTTTTCAGGCGATATGATACGGATCAGGACGGCTGGATCCAGGTTTCATATGAACAGTATCTTTCCATGGTCTTCAATATAGTATAATACACACGGCTCACCACAGAAGAGCACAACTGGACACAACTGTGCCAAAGCTACCGGCACCTCCCGGAAGTCTGCCATGATGGACGCTGCAAGATTTTTTTTTTAATTTTTAATTTTCAAAGCCTTGCTGTTTTTTCTGGGTTTTTTTTTTTTTGGGGGGGGGTGCCCTACTTGTTGGGCTGTTTCACTTTTATTTATAAAGTTAACAACACAATTTTTTCTGTTTATTTTCCAGATCATTTATCTGGAAGTATAACTCAAATGCTTGATATAATAAAAAAAAATCTTGTAGTGTTTTTGTTTGTTGACCAATCTGAACATTGTCTGTGTCGGCGACTCCGTGTGGGGGAACATTATGGACGCATCTGTCTTTCTGTCTGTCTGTTAATGTTGACATTAAATGTCTTAACTTTAATTGATTACATTAAAAAAAGAAAAGAAAAAATGATCAGTCGAGAGTGAAATAATGCATTGTAAATACGATTTCAAATGCATTGCATGCTTTTCAGGGAAATTTCACCCCACAGTTGAAGCATGCTTTCCCTTTCTCTTGACTTTTTCCTCAGCCCTATTTTGCTCAAAGCCATGTTTACAAAACTGTGAGAGCAGGAGACGCCCTGCTTTGAGATTCACTCACATGCCAGCTTACATGCCATATTTGTACAAAATTATTTTTAACAGCAAATCTTCAAATGTGAGAACATACAGTTGGTTTTTTTGTTTGTTTGTTTTTTTTGGTAGAGGGTAAGCATAATGCCTTTAGTAAAGCTTATTTTTTGTGCATGATGCCTTAAAATGTGTACAAACAAACAGGAAAAAAACACAAAAGAGAAATCTTTTATTAAAAACAGAAATAAGAGAATCTGATGTGGAGTTTGCTCTCATTATTTCCAGCTTCACAAAGCCTGGCATGCCTGGCTTTGCAAGGAAAACTGTGGATTTAAGGCTCGGTGTCTCCCTCTGCTGTGTGTTTCCGGTTTTTACCACTGCAATGCACCAAGCTTGTGTGCGTCCCAGAACCTTTTGCTTTTGTTTTTGTTTCAGTCGGGAAGGTAAAAGAGTTACTCCTTGATAGCACAGTTCAATCGAAGCCAGCTTCGTCAAGTACAGCTGAGGTTATATTTTTGCTTTGAGATATTTTTCACTGAACTTTGTCGTTTTTTTTGTTTTTTTTTTAAAGTTTTTATTTAGACCTTCTAGGTTTTTTCATGCGAGTGTTAGCAATGGCGCTAAAACATTTGCGGACACTGACACCACTTTTAAGGTTTAATTGTCAGAGTAAAACATTTGGAAAAGACTCTATAAAGACAATTTTAGTTCCAGTAAAATCCTACAGCGCTCAGCATGGAGGCGAAGACACGGGAAGAGGTGAGAGGAAAGTGCAACTACATGATATGGACGCTAGGGGGCAGTAGAGGCTGCTAGTAAGGTGAAACAAGCTAAAGAACAGCTGTGATTTAATTTTGGGGTATTTTTCAGTATTTATTTTATAATCCTTGTTCACAGCAGATGTTATTTATTTTTTTAGTTCCTAAGAGGAAAAAGTAATAATAATAATAAATTTGAGCTTTTTTTAAAAAACATTATTTTCCTTCCAAGAAGCCAGACTTTCTTGTCATTTTAAATTGCTCTTCTTGAGTAATCGGCCTCCAGACTTTATGAAGTTATTTCAGATAGCTGTGATTGCTAAAAGACATAAGTCTATGGCAAAACAGCTTTCTGTATGACCTCTGCAAGTGGTGTTGAGCGCACACAACACCGCTTAAAACGCTTCTTTTCCCTTGAAATCACTCTGGTAGTGTATGAGTGTAAAATGCGGTGTGAGACAAATTGTCTTCGTGCCTCACTTCACCGGGCTTTGTCATCCTCAGAATAGCCTGTGAGGTGAACACATCCAGTAGCTTCTCTCCTGGATGTAGTTTCCTCTGGGTGTGGTTGACGCTCGGTTTTCCGGGATGAACCTAAACAATGTCAGGTTGACTGCCTGCTGCAAGTTAAGGCCACAATCACTGGCACACACACACTGACCTAAAGTGCTCACCTCAACCCAGATGATATCTTTCAGAGCCTCGTTCACTGTCATTATTTTATCAACTCTGTCCACATAAGACAATTTACGTCCCATCTCCATCCCGCCTACTGTGAAGTTAAAGCTTAACGTCTCTGGGTAAGCCTCTTTCTAAGTGTTGTGGGCCGCACTGGTTTCTCCCTGTGCATCTTTCTCGTTCTCTGTCATTAGCTGCAGGTCAGACTGTGGTCTCGGAGAGAACGGGATCCGTGGTTACTGTGGCAATAAACCGGCCCGAGGTGCGTAATGCGGTGAACCAGGAGACAGCGAGGCGTCTGCTGGAGGAGCTGAAGGCCTTTGACAGTGACCCAGGCTTGAACGTGGCTATCCTGCATGGGAAAGGTAAGATAGTCCTGTGGGGAAGGTTGGGGCTTAAATTGAGGCAGATATTTGCAGAAGCGTTACAGAGTCTTGTTAAGAGATTTTGTTAGTAGTAATCCTCCTAAGTGTCGCCCAGATTCTCATCCTCTTATTTATCTGTAATTAATACTTAAGCATGTCAGGCTTACAGCCGATCGTGAATATTAAGGAATATCTCTGTGAGCATTTCGCCTTAAAATGAGTTGATTTTCAAGCCGGGCAATAATTTTGGCTGAAGGGAAAAAACGCTGTGGCACCAGTGTCTGAGTGAGTAACCAACAAACTTTTAACTGGAAATAGAGAGGAAAAAAAAGTCTTAGTATTAATTCATTCTCTGTGTTTTAACAGTATTTATACCTTGTCTCATATATTAGTTAAAAATGGAAACTTGGCTTCCTGCTCACAGAGAGCACGACTGTTTCATTCTTCATTCATTTGCTGTAACAGAAATATGCTGGATATAAAATTAGTTTTTTAAAAGAACATATTTAAAATTCTACTTTAATGTACCTTAGAGTGTAATTTTTCAAGGGATCTTATATCTGTTTTCACTCTTATATGCTTTTCATACAAGTTTCACACAAGACAGATACAAACTTTATAAGATTTATATATATCTTTTCCATATGGGATAATTTTTAAAATAAAGAAATAGTGCCCCCAGGTTTAAAGGCCACCATTAAAGAAACACTGCCTGGAAAGAAATGCCCATCTTTGTTAACTTGCTGAGAAGATAATGAGACTGACACTACACTCAGTGTCTGTAGAGGTAATTCTCCTCAGTCGCTGTGATTGTGAGTGATGTGACAACTACGTCAAAGCAATGGAGAAAAACTGCAAAGGTAGAGCCATCAGTCTGTTAGCTTAGCATTAAGAGTGCAAACTGGATCAATGTCAGCGGATGCTGAGGGTCATAGTGCACAGCGGTGTTTCTGCACAGTCAATCACTACAAACCTCCAAACTTCATGTGGCCACAATGTAAAGCATCGAATACAGTGGCGTAAAGCACGCCGCCACTGGACTCTAGAGCAGTGGAGACGTGTTCTCTGGAGTGATGAATCACTCTACAAGCACTTCCTTCTTCTCCTCAGTACCTTCTATCTAACATTCACACTCCAATGAATGCGTCAGGAGCAACCTTGCAAATCAGAGAGGGAGGCCATTTCCGGCCACAGTCTAATGCAGCTGTAGGATATAATGGGATACTCACTAAAAATGGACGTAATTTCTTTCCATCCCTCCTTAGCCCTTAATTTCTTCCTTACTTCCATCCTCAGCATTCATCCCACCTTCCCTCACATCCGCTTTACCCAGCTTTGCTACTATGGCTGCTTAGATCTCAACCAAACAGTGAGATGACTAGGCAAGAGTGCACTTGGTAACAACACACACACACCCACACTTGTAAGGTAGCCTGCACTATGTCAGCCGCAGATCCAAAATTATGCCACAGCTCCTAATGCTTCTAAAAATAATCATATCCCACACACTCCTTCCTTTGGTGGAAATAATGTCTTCAGTCTGGATCAACCTGTCTGCTCCGGCCTCTGAGCGTACACTCCAAAAGCCGGAGCATCTCCAGATGATGGCTGCTGATGGCGCTGTGAAATGAAAACAGTGTGTGTAACAGAGTAATTGGCTTTTATTAAACTGGTGAGCAATTAGCAGCACAGTGGGTAAAAGTCGCTCTGTCGTGATTCCCTCTACATCTGTAATCTGATTTTAATCATCGAGCCACAGTTTCCTGTCAGCGGGCTGTCCCGTGTTCCTGCTCCAGGATAACTTGACGACTGACCTTCAGTGATGATTAGCAGTGCGTCTGTGCTGCGAAATGACAAGCGGGGAGTTTCTAGTTTCAACGTAGTGGTTCTGCAAACATAAGGAATCCATTTTGCTCAAATTAGCTCCGACACAGCTCTCATTCTTCAGCGTCCGAATGTGTGTTTTTAAACGTATGAAATTAAGAGTAATTGCTTTCAGCGGGTTTTGAATATGCTCTGACATATTTGGAGTGTTTGAGATTCGGATTTCTGTGGGAGTTTGTGGTTCAGGTGCAATCAGCTGTGTCACTGTAAGACCTGAACAGATGGAAAGACACTTTGAATGTTTTTTAATTTTGCAGTAGCTCCAGAGAGTGAGACAGAGGAAGGAGGCAAAGCTGGTTATTATGGGTTGGTCACGGTATTAACTAGTTGCTCATGTAGTTCATTCAGATTTATGAGGAAGGACATTAAAAGTTAGATTTTATTCTTAAAGAGAGGGAAGTTTTACTTTATCACAGAGAGCTGTTTCAGTTCAACTGCTGCATGGAACACCACAGCAGGTGACGTACAGGTGTTTGCACATTAGCGGCTCTTATCAGCTGACTGTCAGTAAGCCGTTTACAATATTTTCTGCAGCTGTCCTTTCTCACGTGTTGCATACAGTAAGGAAACGGTCTGATTTAGGCATTTTAACACTACTGGATGTTCTCCATGTGTTTTAGGTGAGAGAGCTGCCTGAACACGGGCAGAGTGAGGTGTGGTTAGTGCACCAGACCATTAGCTTTTTTAGTAAACACTTTGCAGTTAGAGATCGGCTGATTTGCACTCTCATATGCGCGTCTTTCGCGTGCGTTCTAGAGAAGCAGTCAGCGGACCAGGATGTGCAACATAAAGCTCAGCGAGCTCAGTGAAATTCAGCCATCGATAATCGTTTTATTTTTATTTCTGCTGCGATATGTCAAAATGCCATGTTGAAACCGAAAAAATTGCTTCATAAAAATGTAAGCGCACAATTATATAGTGATTTCTAACATATTTGGCTCGGAGTCACTAAAGAAGAGTTGGCGTGCCAACATAATGGAGTAAGGCTCTTGTGTTTAGAGGCTGGTGGCTTTTTTTAGGTTGGTATTTTTCATTTTTGTGCCATTTATAGTTGTTTGTTTTGTTAAAGTGAGGTGGCTGCTGCATTTCTGTAGCCCAGTTTTATTTGTCAGCATTGGAAGGTTTGGCTGTGATGGCCTGAAGAGAAGAGTTGAAGTTAAGGAGAGATGCTCGTGTGCTCTCAGGCTGAGATGTTAGTGTATAATACGATATCGGCTGTGACATCCTCAGGGATTTTATTTATTTGCCTTGATCAGGTTGACCAATGATGAGTTTTTGTGTGTTTTGTTTTAGTTAAATTCTTAATAAATAAATAAGTAAATAGAAAAAAAAGCCGATGAACCCTTGTCCATGTAGTTTTGGATCCTACACTTTATACTTCTTAGTATCCCTGTGAAACTTCATCTTTTTGTAACTTCTGTGGAAACAAAACTGTTTCAATTCTCGTAACATTGATTCCTTTCTTCGGTAACAAACCTGAAGGTTTCCTTGTGATCCGTCTGTCGCTTCTGCTCATTTCCTCTTACAAGGACAAAGGAGATAAGGGTGCTCCTTCACAATGCTGCTCC